TTGAGCACTCTTAAGAATAGTATTTTTTTGGTTATTGGAATATAAACACACACACACACACACACACACACACACACAGGTTGATTGAAAAGTAACTCCTCATTTCAAAATACTTATAATTTATTTATTGACTATATTTTCTACAAGTAATGGATATGAAAGAAAAATGTTTAGCATGATGCTTTATTTAAAATTCTATATGGGGACCACATTTCATGGCCAGGAAACATATCAACTGATTTCATAAGGAACTCTTGTGGTATGAAAGACATAAGTTCTTGTATTCAACCCTTCAAATTCTTTCAAAGTCTTGGTTTGGTACAATAGAATTGCTCCTTTAACCAACCCCAAAATAAAAGGGTGTTAAGTCAGGATTCCTGGCTGGCCATTCATATATAAAATAGGGAAATACTTTTCAATCACCTTGTGTGTGTGTGTGTGTGTGTGTGTGTAGTGTTATTTTCAGGTGTTGATTATCACAGATATAGATACTGCCAATTAATAGCTGAATTTTAATTGCACATCAATTTACAGAAAGTTAAATTTTAATTGACATCATGTCAGAAGCTTAAAATTAATTTTGAGTTGCCTGGATATGTCATCTGTAAGTAATGCTTAAAATCCATCAAAATTTTCAGTGTGTAACATATGGAGGTAGTGATAGGAACATGAAAAAGTGGGGTCTGCTAGATGATAAAGAATTATATAAAAAGATAATGTTTTTGTTCTTTCTGATAAATGAGAGATTGACAAGAGAATGAAAAGATAATATAGTCAGAAAGACACGTCGACCTAAGACTAAGTTTGTAATTCACACAATTTACGATTATTATGTTGCAATTCAACAGATCTCCCTTGATTGATAATAAAACAAGAGATTACCAAATATGTTTGGCATATTCTTTAAAACTCATCTTCTGTAATGTTTTAGTACCTAATTTAATATCATGTTGGTGGTTCTCCAAAACTTTGGGAACATTTCAAATTCTGGAGAGATTTCAGATTCTCTTATACAGGAACTGAAAGATATTGTATTCTACAATTCATGTACAGCATTCAAAAAAACTCTTGGGTGAATAAATTCTGGAATGGGAGATATGGCCTAAGAAAAAGGAAAGTTACCGAAAAACATTGTGTATTGTTTTTTCTGAACCCCTTCTGGGTTAAAAATATAAAGAAAAAAAATAGTATCAGCTTATTTTATTCTGTATCAGTCAGGATTCACTTATTTAAAAAATGTATCATGACTTGGAGCAAGACTTATTACTGGTGTTAGAAAAGTTTGGGTCAGTTTTCTTACATGTGATAGGGGAGAAAGATCTTATTGTCACAAATTTAAAGTCAACCCCAACTCCAATTAGTCTCTCTTGTTGGGTTAACTGTTATACAAATATCTACTATTTATTTCTCATTGCTCAGTTTTATTTAGTTACCTATTTTGCCTTAGTGACTTGTTGGGTGGGCCAGATAGAAAAAAAAACAAATTAACAGCATGGTTTAATGTTGTGACCTATGTGCCATTAAATAAACCATGAAAGGCTTCACAGAATTAAATAATTATAAAAAAATATCATTTCTATTAAAATAAAAATGTTTCCATTAATATTGTGAGAAAAAGGTTTGTTAATCTTGTATAGATGTTGTGAGGTGGGGAGATTAATTCATTGTCTTGAATTCAAACTTATCTCCAATGGGTGATGTCTCTCTCTGTGTTGGGCTATAACAGTGCTCTATGTAAACATTTATTTCTCATCTATCTGACTTCCTCACAAACATGGCTTCATGCCACAAAAAAAAATAATCCCAATGATTTATTTTTTTAAATATCATTCTCTGTCCTCTAACGTGCAAGATTAAAGATTAAAGGTCTTATTTAGGTGACTGATGTTGTAGACCAGTGATTCTCAAAGTGGGTGGGTACTGCACCTCCTGGGAGTAGTGGAAAGATCTAGGGTGTGACAGTGAGAAGAAAACTGGGCAGCCAGATGGTGTCAATGATATATCTGAACCCTAAAATACACCACACCCACACATTGTACCTGAAGTGTATCTTACCTTCACTTTTATAATGTCTCCCATTTATATAAAAATTATTATGGGAAATCATTCTTCTTTTATGTACTATGTCCTTTCATGACATCGCAATCATGGCTCTCCAAAACTTCCCATCCTGTGTAGGTCTACATAAATTTTATTTTTTTGTTATCTCTCTTAAACCTTGTTCCACCATCCATTTACTGAAGCTCTCTAGGTAGGTTATGCATTGTTTTCCTCTGTCCCTCTTGCCTACAATCTGAGCAGTGAATATCAGATTTTCCAAGCCCTCTTTATTCAAAATATGCCCCAGAAACCTCAACTGTCTCTTCCTGATGTTAAGTATAAATTTCCTTTTTGTTTTTTTTTTCTCCAAATCTTTGTCATTGCGCACATGTTCAGTTCATCATATCTTCAGCATCCATTTGTAGAAATACATTTTTCTGCTGCCTCAAGTCACCTCTTCATCTGTGATGAGGTTGTCCATTCATTGCTTTACATGAGGATTGATATTACATAACAGTTCAGTACCCTTTCATTCATTTCTAATAAAATTTTTCGGTTTCTTAATACTTTGCTCAGCTTTTAAAAGGCATCTTTTGCTATCCCAATGTGCTTTTGGATTTCAGTGTCAAACATTCCATCTTCTGTTAAACACTTTTTTAAATTTTTGTACTTGTTTGATTTTGACTATCCCCAGTTTGTAATTTGCATGTTGGGCTGTGTCCCTTTTGCTAACAACCAGGCATTCAGTCTTTTTGCAGTTGATGTTTCATCCTTTCTTATTTAATTTCACTATGTTCTCTAGTTCTTGTAGTTTACTTTCTGTGTCTGCTATCAACACTGTGTTATCTGCATATCTTACATTGTTAAGATTGTGGCCACCAGCAGTGAATCCTGTTAGGACTTCTAATTCTCTCAGAATCACCTCACTCTATAGGTTGAATAAGTTAAGTGAGAAGTCACATCCTTGTCTTACTCCCCTTTCTATTTTTGCTTATTTACTGAATTCATTTTCTATCCATATGCAGGTGAATTCTTATAATATCCTTCCCAAAAATCTATCAAAGTTACCAATCAGTTCAAGCAGTTCTTTGTGGTGTACTTTATTAAACTCTTTTTCATAATCTATAAGACCCAAGTACACATTCTTCTGCATTTGTATTGCTATTTCTGATGCCATTCTGAGCATAAATATTGCATTTCTTGTTCCAGTGTCTTTAATAAACCTGCACTGATCTTGTCCTACTTCCAGTCTGATTCTACTGCATGCTCTATTGATCAGAATTCAGAAGTTAAATATTTTTACATTGTTCATTGGGCTGATTGTCCAGTGGAGTTCACATTCACTTGCACCTGGCTTCTTAGACAGTGCTATGAAAATAGATATTCTTAGGTCTTCCAGTGTATCACCATTGTTGTATATTTTATTTATTGTGTCTGCAATCTTATCAATTCCATCTTGTCCTGCTGCTTTGTTTCCAGTGCAGATTTCACTTCAGATTTTAACATTTCTGGTCCTTTGATATTTCAGTATATTGGTGGTAGTCCTCTTTCGTAGTGGAAGAGTTCTCCGAAGTACTCATTTGACATGCAATACTATCAAGTAAATTCAGTAAAAGGTTAACTATACATTGTCGGGTGGGGATGTTAGGGTTGTGTTTGGTACACAAAGTGGGCAGCAGCTCCAAAAAGTTTTGGAACTGCTGTTGTCACATATGTCCCATTAAATGAACAAAGGAGATGAAAGAATTTAATAATCGAAAAATATTACCATTTTTATGAAAAAAAAAAATAAATAAAAAATTAAACTTTCTGATTTGAGTTGACATTGGTTATTTGTCCAAATATAGCTGAAGTGACTGACACGCTCATTTTTCAGTTGGTCCTAAAAGGCAAAAACCTAAAGATTCATGTATTTGTCATATATATTTATATATGTCCAAATTTTGAGTATATCTGAATGTATTTGTAACATATGAATTTGAGTGTGTATATATATATATATATATATAAAATATTATATATTATAATAGTATATATAAAATATTATATATTATAATAGTATATATATATATAAATATATATATTATTTTAGTATATATAAAAATATTATATATTATAATAGTATATATATATAAAATATTATATATTATAATAGTATATATATATATATATATATATATATATATATAAAATATTATATATTATAATAGTATATATATATAAAATATTATATATTATAATAGTATATATAAAATATTATATATTTTAGTATATATAAAATATTATATATAATAATATATATATATAAAAAATATTATATAATATAATATATAAAATATTATGTATATATATATATATATATATATATATATATATATATATATTTATCACTTATACATATATGTTATGTGTGTGTGTATATATATATATATATATATATATATATATATATATATATATATATAGTCATGAACACTGAAAATTTGCTTTTAACGAATTGGTGTGTGTATATCTTATGATCTAAATCAGTGCTTAAGACGCGAGTAATTAATCATTTCAGTGGCAGGCGTGGTGGGGAGGATATTTGTGCATTAAAATTGAATGAAAATAAAACAGCCAAAATGGAAGATTGAAAGATAAAGTTAGCGTGTTGATCTGAAATGGAGGGGGAAACACACACAAACACATTCACACACATGTACACCTACCACAAACAGACATGCATATACTCCCTCAACATGCATATACATACACACACCCACACACTACACATAAACACTCTCCCCACACTCACACAGACATTCCCCGCACCCACATATACATTTGCACACACACACACACATACAGTAACATACACTTACACTACTCGTGGAAACACTGCAACACACACATACAGATATCCTCCACACACCCATACACACATTAATGCATGCAGACACGCACACACACACTTCATATATTCAGAAGGCAAAGATAACAAAGAATGAAAAAAGAGAAGGAGGCAAAGATATTGGAGAGAGAGAGAGATAAAATGAAGAGAAAATGGAAAAGAAAGAAGAGGAGAGACAGAAGGAAAATCCTAAAGCACTAGAGAAAAAATTGAGAAGAGGAAAAGTAACAATGAAACAGCAAAGGAAAAGAGAGAGAGAAGGAGGGAAATAGAGAAATTGAAAGAAGAAGAAAAGGAAGAGAAAAGGAAGTAAAGAAAGAGGGCTTAAGGAGGAAAGGTAGGAGGAGGAAAAAAAAGAAATTGAATAAAGGGGAAAAGTAATTGAAAGAGAAGAAAATGAAAAAGAAGAGAAAAGGAAGCAAGGAAATGAGAGAGAGAGAGGTTAAAAAGAGAAGGAGGAGAAAAGTGATTACAAGGGAAGAAAAGGAAGAGAAAGTAGAGAGACAGGGAGAGAAAGTTAGAAAGAATAGCTGGAAAAGAAAAGAATAAAGAATTAGATAAAAAATAAATTTGAGAAATTGTAGCAAAAGAAAGAAGAAACAGATAAAAAGAATGAATGGAAGAAAGATTGAATGAAAAAAACATGAAAGATGCAATAGAATAAAAGGAAGAAATAAGCACAAGAAAAGAGTGAGAATGAAAATGTGAATAAAAAGAAATAGAAAGAAAAGAAAGACAAGGTTATTATGTTTGGAAAAAAGAGGCTTTCTATAGAGACTAGAATGAAGAAATAAATATAGAAAGAAGAAAAGGAAAGAAAAAATGGAAGAGAAAGAAAGAAAATATAAGAAATGAACAAAAAAAGGGATGAGTCTTTTTTTTTTTTTTTTTTATTTTTATTTTTTTTTATCTATATATATATCGATATAATATTGATAGAAAAGTGAAACATCCTATTGAAAAAAAAAAGGACATTTATGAACTGTGTTAGTTTGATCCCCATATTTTTTAGATGATAAAAATCTACATGCAAAGAATACCAAGCAATTGAATTTTCATAGCTAGATAATTTCACCTGATATTGGGCCCTAATCCACAAAATTTTAGATATATTTTAAGTTTTATTTATTTTGTATTATATTTTTGTTTTTGCTCAAGAGAAACAAGAAATATTTCTATAAACTCACAAGTCCTTAAGATGAGCGTTGATAAAATCTGAGAGTATAGATTTGATCCATCTTGAAATCAGAGAATTCCTCCCAACTGAATATTAATCGAAATAAAATGTTCTTTGAAAGTGTTGTGTGTTTGCTGTTATCTAGGAAGCTATCAGAAAACTTGGAGAAAAAACCAGTGAGTAAGTTAAAGATGAATTAAAGCAACAATATGTCTTGCAGTGAAATGATTTATTTATGCTTGAAAAAAGATTTGTGTTAATGTGTAAATAAGGAAGAAATTTAAGAGATTAGAAATTTGAAAGAAGAAAAAAAAGAGAGAGGAATGAGGAAAGCAGAAAAGAAAAAAAACAATATTTGAGAGAGAGAGAAATTGGAAATCCAAATTCGGAAACAGATGGAGAGAGAGAAATAAAAGAGAAGAATAAAAGAGAGAGGATTGACAATATAGGAATGAAAAATTTGGAATCCAATATTTGAAGAGAGAAATTGAAAGAGACAAGGACACACATTTGAGAGAATAGAGTGGAAAATAAGAAAATATATTTTAGAGAATAATTTTAAGAAAGCAATAAGTTTTGAAAAACATATTAAAAAAGAGAAATTGAAGATCCTTTTTTCTTATAGAAAGAGAGAGATTTTTTTAAGAGAGAGAGAGAAGACAAGGAGAGAGAAAGATACAGAATAAGAAAATTTGAGAGAAGATTAAGATCTGATGACTTAATGAGTGACCAAGAGGAGGAGTTTATAATGGAAAAACAAGAAACAGGATTCAAAAATTTTTTGTTGATTAAAGAAAAGAAAAAAATAAAATTAAAAAAAAAGAATGGAAAAATGAATCTTTTGGGGAAAAGGAAAAAAAAAAAAGATTAAATTTAAATGAAAGAAAATCTAAAAATAGTATACAAAACATTAAAAGATATAATTGCAATTTTAAAAATTTTAGCACATGTTTGAAAAAAAAAAAGAAATAAAAATAAAAGGAGGATCTAAATAGTTTTTTGAAAAATGAAAAATGATATGTCAGACAAGCAAATAAAAAAAATATAACAAAATTTTAGAAATGGAGAAAAAAAAATAGAAAGCACTAAAGAAAGAATTTTATTGACATAAAGTTTTGTTATTTTGATTCCTGTGTCTCATCTGCCATTCTCTGTAGTCATCTCAGATTTTGCCATTATTTTATTATTTATTTGGACTAATATCCTCACTTCTGTTGTTTTTAACCATATATTTTAACATTGATTTCCAACACACCAAGTCTGAAGTTTTATCAATATTTCATGGAAATCATTTGTGATTATAAGAAAGAAAAGATAGAAAAAACATAATAATAAAAAGCAAAAGATTTATGGTATCTTGCAAATTTTTTGAAAAATTTTGAATCATTAATTTTAAAAATTTTGAAAAAATTTTTATAAAAGCTTTTGTATATTTTTTGTAATGTAGCTAATGATCTACATTTGATGTCTTTTTGATGACCTGAGTTCTGGAAGTTTTCAAATGTTTTGGTCCTTTTTAATCAACAACTTTGTATTTTATTCAATAAATCAACCACTGATGGTCATCTATAATGGTTTTATTTCAAAGGACAAGTCAATTCAATTTTTGAAAATATTTCAACCAGTTTGAGGCAATCCTGGTCAAAGCCATTGGTTTCCAAATTTCAAAAAAATATTGGGGCTTTTATAAAAAAAAAACAAATTTAAATGCCTTTACATTGTTAGACAAAATTTGTATCAAAATCAATAACATGGAAAAAAAACAAAAAAGTGAAAAAAAAATGGGTATCATGATATAAATAAAATTTAATTAATTCCAAATAATAATAATAATAATAATAATATAAATTGCATTAACTTTTCAATAAGAAAGGTAGAATTACAGAAACATTTTAATAGATTTAGATTTTGTCACAAAAAGATTGGGAACTGGAGCATGGTGAAGCTTATAAGTACCTAGGAATTAGCAAAGGAGATGGCATACAACAAAAAAAAAGGAAAAAAAAAAGAATAAGTAAAAAGGCGTGTACGTCTGGTACTAAATACTGAGCTAAAAAAAAAAACAGAATATCAGCCATAAACACATTGGCTGTCCCTTTGTGGTTCAATAAGCTTTAATGTCCTTAACTGGACCATAGCTGAAATTAAGCGAATGGATGCCAAAACGAGAAATCTTATTCACTTGTTATCGCATGCATCATCCCAAAGCTGATGTTGATCATCTGTATGTGCCCAGATCCGAAGGAGGCAGAGGATTAGTTCAACTAGAACTGTCCTACAAAACTAAAACAATTGGCCTCCAAAGATATTTGAAACTACAGAAGACTGGATGATGGTATGCGTCAAGGAACATGAAAGTAGTAAGCGTCTTTAATTCCGTAATGAAAGAAGCCAACAAATTCAAAATGGAGTTTCAAATGGGCGTAGAGATGCAACTACAGCACAATACACCGGCTGAAACTGCAAAATACCTAAAAAAGACAGCAAAGACGAATGCAACTGACCAGATTACAGAAGCGATGGCAAGATAAACCGCTTCATGGCCAATACTCTGCCCGTACCAAACAAGCTGACGTAGACAAAAACCCGTACCCATCAGTGGCTACGTAGTGCAGGGTTGAAAGCGGAAACTGAAGGTTTTATCCTTGCTGCGCAGGACCAATGATTGCTAACTAGGAATTATCAAGCACATATATAAAAATATTGTGTCAGCCCAAAATGCAGATTCTGTGATAAATATCCAGAAACGATTGATCATCTTGTATCAGGTTGTACGGTGTTGGCACCCACTGAATATAATACCCGACATGACAGAGTGGGCCAATACCTGCACTGGAAAATCTGCAACTTCTACGGGAAGAAAACTGAAATAAACTGGTATGAACACCACCCAGACCCGGTTACGGAGATAGGACCTGTTACAATTCTATGGGACTACACAATACACACTGACAGAACAATCAAGGCCAACCGGCCAGATATTGTTATTAAAGACCACAAACAAAAACGGTGCCTGCCTCCTTATTGATATGGCAGTCCCTGCTGACTGCAATGTATCTTTGAAGATATTCAAAAGTTGTCAAAATACAAGGACCTTGAAATAGAAATCTCAAAAATGTGGCATATGGGAACATCAACAATCCCTGTTGTAGTTGGAGCCCTAGGACTGGTTGGAAAAGATTGCAGTAGACTAATTGAAGGGATTCCTGGAAGTCCATGCCTCAAGGAGATACAAAAAAATTGTTCTGGCAAGTACAGCCCACACCTTACGAAGGGCTTTATCTATGTCATTTTTTTTTTTTTGTCAGTGGAATGTGTCATGACGCCATTTCTAACCTTAGGTCCCTGGGTGGGACCCGGAAAGAAATGTGTAAACGCCAGAAATCAAAGAAAATAAAAATACTAATAATAATAATACAACAGTTAAAGAAGAATGATAATAATAAAATAATCTTAAAAAAAAAATTTTTTTTTTGACAATTTAAACAATATTTCAACAGATGCTTTTCAAACCAAGGCAAACAACATTTGTACAAAGACTTCTAATTTTTTGTAGATTTATAAATTTAAAAATTTTTTCAAGTATAACTTCAAGAGAGATATTCTGTTGAAATATTGTTTAACTTTGTCAAAAACTGTGTTTTTTCTTTTATCTTTTCTTAAATTGCACTCTTCTCTTAAAAGTTGAAAAATATTGGAAGAGTTACATCAATCATATTTTTAAACAATAATAATAATAATAAACTTTAAAGTAAAGGTATTGAAAAAAGTGTAAATACTTTTGATATCGCCTAATATATAATAATATACTGGAACTGTAGAAAGTCTTTAGCAGCATACAGAAATAAGCTTCCAAGAAAAAATCCGTAAAGCATGAAAATACTTTTGAAACGTGCTAATCATACTGATGAGTTACAACAAATTGATGCCATTATAGGTCAAAGTTATTCTTGGTTGATTTTGCTCAATACAACAAGGGTTAAATGTTGTTTGCTTCTGGTATGTGCATTGACCCATGATCTGTGCTGACAGGGACATACAGGAAAGATGCATTCGATGCATCTTTGCTGTATATCGAGATAGACAGTTTTTACATGCGTACATGAAATTATAGGTAGTAAGGTCAGGTATTGACCAGTATATATAAATAGACAAGCCACAACGTAACACACATGGCCTAAAGATTACATTCCAGCATGACACAGACTGTTGCTACTGCAGTTGACCAGTGTCCATTGTGTGTATATATCTTTATTTCATTCAATGTCCACTATATTTATATATATTGATTTCAATAAATGTCCACTATATCTATATCTATCTATCTATCTATCTATCTATCTATCTCAACCCTGGTATATAAACTATACACTAGGGTTGAATAAGACTGACATACTTCTTGGTTGAAATAGATCTATCTCCCCGCAATATGAGGTAATTTTAAATTTTGTTGTGTAATTTATATGTTCTGTTATAATAAATATATTGAGCTCTTTTTGTGGATAAGTTTTAATATTTGATATTACTAGGATCCACTTGGATTATATAACAATAGATTTATTAGAATACTAATATGTATATATATATATATATATATATATATATATATATATGTATGTATGTATGTATGTATACTGAACTCACTACTTGTTTTTGATGTATAAGGGTCAGTCAGCTCAGTTCTTAGGACCAACAGCCAGACTACCCATGCATATCATTTGATTATAATGGTGAAGGCTTGTGCATTGTGAAGACCTGGTCACACTTTTTGGACAAGTCAAATAGAGAAAACTGGCGCACAATATGCCAAAGGTCACCAAAATGCC